TGCTGGGGGATTGAACTGTGGTCCCTGTGCTTTGCCAAGCTTGTTCCAAGTAGGTGCTTTAGACCACTGAGCCATCTCTCCAGCCCGCAAGTTACTCTTAATGTGCAACTCAGATTCTTTTTTTTTTCCCTTCCCCCAGTGGTGGGGATCAAACCTGGGCCCTCATGCTTGCCAGCTAGCACTCTACCACTGAGCTACATCCTCCAGAGTCTTATGTGTGGTCCAGACTATAGTAGAGAAGACAAAAGGGACTGGAGGGCTGGAGAGATAGCGCAGAAGAATAAGCGCTTGCCTGGCAAGCACAAGGTCCTGAGTTCAATCCCTGGTACCACAAAAAATAACAAAAATAACAGAAGGGACTGGGGTTAGATAAAGAGGGGATTAAAGGCCTTCCTGCTATAGGAAGGAGGGTAAGCAAGAAGACCAGGGCAGGGCCTGGGCACATAGAGAAAGGCAGAGTTTGGGTATGTAGCTCACCGGCACAGCACCTGCCTAGCAATTGTGAGGGCCAGAATTCAATTCCCGGTACAAAAAAAAAAAAAAAGAAAGAAAGAAAGAAAGAAAGAAAGAAAGAAAGAAAGAAAGAAAGAAAGTCAGGCAGGCAGATCTTGGCTCTAGGACTTTCATAAACTTTGCAAATTGTCTTACTTTTCTTGTTGCTGAAACAAAGTGCCTAACACCCAATGTCAATGGAGGAAAGGTTTATTTATCTCACTGTCTGCCGTCAGCCGGCTCCAAGGCAGGGTGGGTGGCAGGCACGTATCACAGAGGAGAAACAGCTTATGTAGCAGAAGACAGAAAGGAACAAGGCAGGAGCACAGCTCTTTCGGACCCTTCTATCTTATCCAGGCTGCTTAGGGGGCAGTGCTCACGCCCTTCACGCTAGCCCTTGATCCTAGCATTGTGCCGTGAATCAATCCCAGGGTCACCCTAGACTCAGCTACCTCTGAAAAAGCCCCACTGTGATCAGATGAGGCTGGGGGTGGGGGGACATCTCAGACAGAAGCCGTAACACAAGTTGAGGAAACCCTGACCTTGGCCATCGTCTTTTCACCCACTGCATTCTCAGTTCCTGGCCACATGGGGACACGGCTATGATGAAAACAGTCCTGGGGCTGGTGAGATGGCTCAGTGGTCTAAAGCACCTACTTAGAACAAGCTAAGCAAAGCACAGGGACCGCGGTTCAATCCCCCAGCACCACATGCCAGCCCGCCCCGCCCCCTGGTGGGCTGAGCTGTCCACACACACACACACACACACACACTAAATAAATAAATAAATAAATAAATAATTAAAAAAAAAAAGAAAAAGAAAACAGTCCTGTCTCTGCTCTCAGGGTGCACGGCCCAGTGGGCCCAACAGACTCCTTCCAACACAGTGAAGAGCCCTGGTGGGCAGGGCTTTAGGCTTGGGACTCTACATGGGGTTCGTTCAGGGAAGGCTTTCCTGAGGAAGAAGCACCTGAGGTGAGCCCTCAAGCCTAAGTAGAAGTTCTCCAGAAGAAGAATATGGAGAGATGAGATATCGAGACGAGTCCCTCTTAAACGGAAGGAACAGAATGTACAGTCATTTTGAAATAAGATCAGTTTGACAAAAAACACCAGCTAGTTTAGGCTGAGAATTTGAGGGAGGCATGGCAGGAGAAAGGTTATTTTATTTTATTTATTTATTTTTGTGTCCCACTCAGCCCACCCGGGGAGCAGGGCTGGCATGGCATGCAGTGCCAGGGATCAAACCGCAGTCCCTAGGCCTGCCTAAGATCGAACCGCAGTCCCGAGGCCTGCCTAAGCAGACACTTTAGACCGCTGAGCTGTCCTGCCAGCTGGCAAGAGAAAGGTAGGCAGGGAAGTAGGATGTTGAAAGAAGATTTAACCTTTTCCCCTGGGTATTAGGGAGCATCCAGGAGGGAGAGGTCGGATCTGTGCCCCTTTGCTTACCCAGGAGGACAGCTCGGGCTGAAGACAAAGGGAAGGTACGCTGGGACTCTGGTGTACCCAGATTGGAAGGAAGGTGTAACAATAGGAAGGAAGGGACAGAAGTATTCAGAAGGTGGGATTGTCTGGGTCTCTGATGTCCTCCCTCTCTCGGAAAGCACCTGTAATAATCCTTCATGGGAAAACTTTCAGCACCTCCTAGGAGCCCACAGTTACCCCACCAGCCCCCACACCAGGCGAAGCTTCAGAGCTGTGCTTGGGACGGGGAGCCAGCGCCACCTAGGCCCTACTTGGGAGTGCAGCTAGAGAATGGGGATGGCTTGTGCCCTGTGGTTGGCAGCCTGTGTGTGCAGCATACTGCTGACTGCACCCAGGGCTTTCTTTGTCTCTGAGCTGTATTCTCAGCGCTTTTTATTTTTTTAAATTTTCAGACAGGGTTTCACTCGTTTGCCCAGGTTGGGCTCAAATCCTGCTTTAGCCTCCCGGAATCCAGGGATTACAGGCTTGCACCACCATACCTGGCTGGGTGGAGCAGCCTCTTTACTGTGATCCATCCCACTTCAAAATTTTTCAGTTGTAATAGAGTGCACCTAAGATAAAATTTTATCATCTTGCCAGGGAGATGGCTCAGTGGAATAAGCGCTTCCCTGGAAAGTGCAAAGGCCTGAGTTCAATCCCTGGTTCCACCAAAAAAAAATTTTTTTTTTATCATCTTACCATCTTATCCACATTTAAGTCCAGTGATGTTAAATCCACTCATATTGGCCAGCTATGGTGGCGCATCTCTGTAGTTGTAGCACTCCAGAGGCTGAGGTAGCTTGTGTGGGGACAGCCTGGGCCACATAGTGAATTGAAGGCCCTCTTAAAAAAAAAAAAAGGGGGGGGCTGGAGAGATGGCTCAGTGGTCTAAAGCACCTACTTGGAACAAGCTTAGCAAAAGCATCAGGGACCGCGGTTCAATCCCCCAGCACCACATGCCAGCCAGCCCGCCCCCTGGTGGGCTGAGCTGGTCTCTCTCTCTCTCTCTCTCTCTCTCTCTCTCTCTCTCTCTCTCTCTCTCTCTCTCTCTCTCTCTCTCTCTCTCTCTCTCTCTCTCTCTCTCTCTCTCTCTCTCTCAAATAAATAAATAAATAAAAATTTTAAAAAATAAAAAAAAAATCTGACTTTTCTAGCAAAATCAGTGCCTGGCTGATTTTGCCTGATGGTGCATGGCTTGGAGAAGTGAAAAGGGGCAGAAGGAGGGACTTGGGGTAATGCTGAGGGCTACAGCATGAGCCGAGCCCAGCCCAGGATTCAGGGCCAGGAGTGGGAGGAAAGAAAGGAAGAGATCGGGATGGCTTCCAGGAGGAGGGAATGTTGCAAAGGAAGGTGAAAGTTGGGATTGGGAATGCAGTCAAGATGTTTAGAACTGACCCTGAGGCTGGAGAAGGTGATAGACTTTGAAGAATGAGACCAAATGAAGACAGTGCTTTGAGGGTGAGGGCTACTCAGCATCTAATGTGTCCCTGGTCCCCCCTCTCCCAGCAGTGACCAAGACAGCCGCAGGTCCCATTCTCATGGTGGTCCCAATCCAGTGACGGACAAAGACCCTTTCCCACATAATGATGAGTTAAACGTGGTTGGGTAGCCAGGGATATAGCTCATTGGCACAGTGCCTGGCGAGTGCAAAGTTCTTAATATTCCTGATACAAAAAAAAAAAAGTGGTTGGGCTGAGGGAGGGGACCTCCAAGGAAGCTTTAGGAGCCCAGAGTAGTTGCCTGATCCAGGCTAGAAAGTCAGGGAGAACTTACTGCTTGGGAAAGAAAAAAAATAAAAAAGGTGGGCAGTGAGGGCTGGGTATGTAGCTCCGTGGCAAAGCTCTTGCCTAGCATGCGAGGCCTGGTTCCATGTCCAACCCCGAGGGCTGGCTGAGGGAGGGAGCTTCTGATAGCCAGCTCCAGCTTTCCCTTCTATTCTGTCTCCCCAGGATGCCCTGGACACCCAGCTAGGGCCTGGCCTTGGCTCCATGCGACTCACACGCTGCCAGGCTGCCCTCGCAGCTGCTATCACCCTGAACCTCCTGGTTCTGTTTTACTTCTCATGGCTGCAGCACCAACCCAGAAACTCCAGGGCCCGCAGTCCCCGCCGGACATCCACCACCACTGGTCCCCGCGTCACTGTCCTGGTGCGCGAGTTTGAGGCCTTTGACAATGCAGTACCAGAGCTGGTGGACTCCTTCCTGCAACAGGACCCAGCCCAGCCCGTGGTGGTGGTAGCCGATACCCTCCCCTATCCACCTCTCGCCTTGCCCCGCGTCCCCAACGTTCGCCTGGCATTGCTCCAGCCCGCCCTGGACCGGCCTGCTGCCGCCTCACGTCCAGAGACCTACGTGGCCACCGAGTTCGTGGCTCTGGTGCCCGATGGGTCACGTGCTGAGTCACCAAACCAGCTGGAGCGCATGGTGGAGGCCCTGAGGGCAGGAGGTGCACGCCTAGTGGCCGCCCCGGTTGCCACTGGCAACCCTGCCCGCTGCCTAGCACTTAACGTCAGCCTGCGGGAGTGGACTGCCCACTATGCACCAGCGCCCGCTGTGCCCCGCTGCGACGCCCTGGACGGCGACGCCGTGGTTCTGCTGCGCACCCGCGACCTCTTCAACCTCTCAGCGCCGTTGGCGCGGCCGCTGGGCAGCAGCCTCTTCCTCCAAACAGCCCTGCGAGGCTGGCCAGTGCAGCTGCTGGCCCTGCCCTTCGCTGCGGCGCGCCAGCCCCCGCTGGCCACAGCACACGCGCGCTGGAAGGCAGAGCGTGAGGGGCGCGCACGGCGGGCGACGCTTCTACGGGCTCTGGGCATCCGCTTGGTAAGCTGGTCTGGCGGGCGGCTCGAGTGGTTTGGTTGTGGCAAGGAGAGCACGCGCTGCTTCGGGACTGTGGTGGGCGACACGCCTTCCTACCTGTACGAGGGGCGCTGGACGCCGCCGTGCTGCCTGCGGGCGCTGCGCGAGACTGCGCGCTACGTGGTGGGTGTGCTGGAGGCCGCAGGCGTGCGCTACTGGCTGGAGGGTGGCTCTTTGCTAGGCGCTGCGCGCCACGGGGACATCATCCCCTGGGACTACGACGTGGACCTGGGGATCTACCTGGAGGACGTGAGCAACTGTGAGCAACTGCGGGGGGCTGAGGCAGGCTCGGTGGTGGACGAGCGCGGCTTCGTGTGGGAGAAGGCTGTGGAGGGTGACTTCTTTCGCGTGCAGTACAGCGAAACGAACCACCTGCATGTGGACCTGTGGCCTTTCTACCCCCGCAACGGGGTCATGACCAAGGACACCTGGCTGGACCACCGGCAGGACATCGAGTTCCCTGAGCACTTCCTGCAGCCTCTGGTGCCCCTGCCTTTTGCTGGCTTTGTGGCACAGGCCCCCAATAACTACCGTCGCTTCCTAGAGCTCAAGTTTGGCCCCGGGGTCATTGAGAACCCCGAGTACCCGAATCCTGCACTCCTGAGTTTGACAGGTGGTTGAACCCCCAACACCCGCACCTGTGGTCCCTGGGATCAGAGGAACAGTGGGACACTGAGAGTTTCTTTTAGCTTCAGTGGTCTAGTGTGGAGATGCTTCCTTTGATGGGGTTTGTGGGCCATGTGCTGGAGACAGGAAGCCCCAGAAGAGAGAGAACCTGGCTCTTCCAGGAAGAACCAGGCCCAGGACCGGAAGCAACAAAGTTTCCAGTGATCCTTCCCCCTTTGGGCCGCAGATGTGACTTGGGACATCTCAGTAATTGACAAAGCTACAGGTGTGCCAAGGGGTCCTTTAGGGCCTGACATAGTCACGGACCTCAGAGAAGTGTCCTGGCCCTGATCTGGAACAGTTTGGGGAAAACAGGTTGTGAATTGTGGCGCTGTGACTTTGGAGCAGTCACTGCCTCACTTTTCTACTGGATTCACAGGGCCCTGGACTGACTTCACCCTGGGACCAGTATGGAAGTAAGCACTCCAGACCCTTGGCTGCAGGGATTGCTTGATCCACCAGAGGGCGTGTCTGTCCTGCTCCTGGTACCCTTCTGTGGCTTTCAGGGTGACACTGAGCCAGCCCAGTGCCAGAGTCCCATAGCCCTCCTCTCTTGAGTTTTTGGTCTCAGAAACACTATGGGTGGTAGGACAGCAGTGGTCGTCTCCCCCTCTGCAATGTGACGCCTTCCCTACGGTACTGCATGAGGTCCCTGCTGCTCTTAACCCTGACTTGCTGAGGAGGAGACAGCTCCCAGTACGGTGGGCTGTGCTTAAACCGGGTCTGGATCCCTGCTCATCCTTACCATACCTCAGTACTTCGGCTCTCAGGGCCTGCACCACACTAGCCAGGAGGCCAACAGTAGCGTGACACATAGTGACAACCCTTAGCAGGTACTGCAAGTCACTTGGTATAAATACGGACTCACTGACTTATCCTCACTTCGTCCCTCTGAAGTGACAGCTGCTATTTGTCCATTTTTATACTGAGGCCAAAGTGGTGACGTCACTTGCCCAAGACCAGAGGGCTGCAGAATTAATGGATCAGGGACTTGAACTCAGGCCAGCAGGCTCCGGAGCCCACATTTGACTTCTTCATCCCTCTGCCCCCTCTAAAAATGGTCCCCAAAAGTGGTTGGGAGTCCCCATTTCATGGGAAAATAGTATTGGGGCATGTACTGCAGTGTGTGTATTTATAAATTATGCACAAATACAAATCATTACATATGGCTTACAGTATTCCATCTTACAATAAAATGTGAGTATGAATAGAGGTTTTTATGTTCTTAGCTTAATCTCGGTGACTTGTTCCAAACACCTCCTGAGGGCAAAGCTGTGATGGCTGCTGTTCTGGAGGCTAAGGCAGGAGAACGAATTGAGCCCAGGAGTTCCAGGCCAGCCTGGGTGACAGCAAAACACCAGTCCTTGAAACAAAACAAAAAAATGAAAACACAGTTGCCGGTCAGGTCATGGTGGCACACATCTGTAATCCCAGCCCTTGGGAAGCTGAGGTAGGAGGATCATTAGGAGTTCCAGACCAGCCTGGCTACAAAGTGAGCTCAAGGCCAACCTGAACTGCATAGCAAGACCCTGTCTCAAAAGATTAAAAGAGAGAAAGCAAGCACAGGATGGGGGTGGGGTGCATGTCTGTAATCCTAGCACTGGGCTGGGGGTGGAAGGGTGAGGTAGGAGAATCACTGAGTTCTATTTCAGCCTGGACTACTTAGCAAGACCCTGTCTCCAAAGAACAAAACAGGCGCTGAGGTGGCAAAAGCCAGCTTCAAACCATTGCCCTGCCCCCAGCATGACTCAGGCTTCTGCTTTTCATCTGGGAAATGGGGACAAGGAAAGCAGCCACTCCACAGAGTGAGGTGCTTCAGTAGTAAGTGGGTTGGCGTCAGGGTTGGGCATCAATCCTGGTATCACCATTTATTCTCTTTGTGACCTTAGGCAAGTCACTGCGTCTCTGAATGTGTCAATCTCTGGGACTGGGAGTATCACAGCGTTTTGCCCTTGAAGGAGAGCGTTTGCCACAACCTGAGGCCCGGATCTCCACAACCTGACCCCTTCCAGGCCATCCTTGCCTTTAATCACGAAGCCACTATGGTTCCCCAAGCAGCTGGAGCCTTCCAGTGTGACTTTGGTCATCACCACGACCTCACAGAAGGAAGCTCTGGAAGGAAGATGTCTTATAACATGCAGTGTGACCCCCATGGGAAAGCATCACCCTCGTCTCATCTGCCTCAGTGTGGATCCAGTATCCTACTGGACATACAGGACAGAAAGGTCGTACTTAAAATATTTTGTGCAGATGTGGTGGCACACACCAGTAATCCCAGGATTTGGGAGGCTGAAGCAGGAGGATCATTGTGAGTTCAAGACCAGCCTGGGCCACAGAGTGAGCTCAAAACTAGCCTGAGGGCCAGCCAGATAGCTCAGCGGACTAAAGTGCCTAAAAGTACCTACTTAGGCAGAGTGCAGCAGCCAGGGCACGATTCCCGCTGTGCTGTGCCGGCCCCGCCCCCAGGGTGCGCCAGCCTGTAATCCCAGCGCTTGGAAGGCTGAAAACAGGAGGATCGGGGCTGGGGAGATGGCTCAGTAGAATAAGCGCTTCCCTGGCAAGCGCAAGGGTCTGAGTTCAATCCCCAGTTCTGCCAATAAATAAATAAATAATAAAA